TCTGCTTCAGGTATTTTTGTTGAGTCTCTCCAGGCAGATGGAAAGTTCAGATTAGTTTCCTCAGAGTTTCATTCCTGATCATCCAGTTTGTGTCAGTGATCTGTGAACGTTCACCTCCTCCAACAAGAATTGTAAAGAATCTACGTAAAATACCATTTTATTTATAAAGCACTTTAAACAGCGACAGGGTCAACCAAAGTGCTGTAGAAACAGAAACAAACAGGTAAGCACACAGCAACACATAACATAACGTAAAATCAAACTATAGAAACAAAATAATAGCAGATAATAAAATAATGACTAACACGGTGTGATGCATTCAGGTTCAACACAAATCAGAGTATTGAAATCCAGAGAATGAGTTTCACTTTCTGAATTGACTGAAAATAAATTTAACCTTTTCTCAATATTCTGGTTTTTGAGCTGCACCTGCATTAGTCAAGTCCAATTTAATTGTGTATCATATTTATAAACAGGAACTGTTAGCAAAGTGTATATTAGCTGTGAGGACTTAATGTTACACCAGTTTTTGTTTTCCTGTTCTGAATGACTTTCAGGTCTTAAACTTCAATCTACATTTCTTTAATAACTACAGAGACTGTACTTATTTAAAATGCTTTCGTTTCCATTTTTCTACAGAATGGGATGTTTGTCTTTAGTTTTCTTTGAATGTTTTTTTTAGAATAACAATGATTAGTCACTTGGTAGAAAATATCTCCTGAAGTATCCTATCCCAACCACATTTCTCTAGTGTGAATGGTCAGTTCTGTCCTTTTTATACGAGAGCTGGCGCCTTTGTCCAAACAACTCCATCTCATCTGCTCACAGAGTTTATGACAATACTTTTTTTGTCTAGAGAAGCATTTCCAAACACTTTTACTGATGCATAGAACTCACAGATAACTATTAAGAGTTTCTGTATTAAGATGTTTGCAGATTTGATCATCCATTATCTTTTGCCAGCTTCTTCCTTTTCAGGTCACTTTTCCCCATATCATCACTGTGCGAGAGGCGGGGGACACCCAGGATGGGTCACAAGTCCATCACAGGGCCGCATAGTGACAAACGAGACAAACAAGACCACAAGGAGGGAAACATGTCAGGAGACAGAAGGAGAAGAGGAACGTGAAGAATGTAGGACTGAGGGTTGCAACGCCAAATGTGGGGACAATGACAGGCAAAGGTAGAGAGCTGGCTAACATGATGCAGAGAAGGAAGGTAGATGTTTTATGTGTCCAAGAGACCAAGTGGAAGGACAGCAAGGCTTGCAGCATTGGAGCAGGGACTGTTTTTTCATGGTGTGGATAGAAAGAGAAATGGAGTAGGGGTGGTCCTGAAGGAGGAGTTGGCAAAGAATGTAGTAGACGTCAAAAGAGTGTCAGATAGTGATGTGTCTGAAGGTAGAAGTAGAAGGTCTGGTGCTAAACATTGTCAGTGGTTATGCTCCACAGCTTCGATGTGATGAGGAGGAGAAAGACACATTTTGGAAAGATCTGTATTAAGTTATAGAGAGTATTCCCAAGGAGGAGAGAGTGGTGACAAGAGCAGACCTGAATGGACATGTTGGTGAAGAAAACAGAGGGGATGAGGAAGTTATGGGGAGGTTTGGTGTCAAGGAAAGAAACCAGGAAGGACAGATGGTGGTGGATGTTGCCAAGAGAATGGAAATGGCTATAGTCAACACCCATTTCTAAAAGAGGGAGGAACATAGAGTGATCTATAAGAGTGGAGGAAAGAGTACGCAGGTTGACTACATTCTGTGAAGAAGAGGAAACCTGAGGGAGATTGGAGACTGTAAGGTTGTGGAGAACATGGCCAGACAGCATCGGATGGTTGTCTAGAAGACTGTTGTTGTGAAGAAGAGAAAAAGAGCAAAGTACCACATTCTTGACTTTCCTCTTCTCCCTCTTTCTCCACACATTTCTCTCTTCATGGTTTCTACCAACAGAAGCACAATTTCTGCCGGCACCCTGTTAGTCAACAGCAATGATGGAGGTCGTCGTTAACCCGGGCCTCACACTATCTGCATTGTGTCGCTTAGATGAACTCGCATGTTAGTTGTGGCAAAAGTGTTTTATGTTCGATGTCCTTCTTGACAAAACCCTCACCACCGGGCTTGGGACCAGAAAAAGATACAGTGGCTTATGCTCCTTAGTGGCTGGTTTACATTGATTCGTTTCACATAGTGAAATATTTCAAGCCTTAATTTCTTGTAATTTTGATGATTATGGCTTTTAGACACTGAAAAACAAAATTTATCCCCAAACCATCACTGACAGCGGGAACGTCACTTCACACTGGACTTCAAGCGTTGTGGATTCTGGGTCTCTCCTCTCTTCCTCCAGACTCTGGGACC